AGTGTTAATGAGAATTTTTTAGGACTGTTTCCCTGTGGAAGGTGAATTGACTGACGTCACAGGAGACTTGACAGAGGTCAAACTACAACACACATACTCTGACCTCCTGTGGTATTCCTCTTGGAATGTTAATTATTGTCTAGAAAGTTCAATACTTCTTAATGAATTGTTTAACTTTTTGGTATCCTAAACAAAGATGTTTTGTTGCTGAAAATAAGTTTTGTTAGTATCAAAATAACAGCAAAGTGAATTGGTATAATAAGTCAGTTTTGAAGTTTGATGTATGCTTGATTAGCATTTGGACACATTAGCAATCAGAAAGTGTTGCTGTTCATAGGCTTTTCAGAGGTACTGTTCTTAGCCTTTTCAGAGGTAAGCAGTATCAGATTCTTTTATACCTGTTTAAGTAATGTTGTGTTCTGCCTCAGTAGAAAGTATAAAGGTTCCATACTAATATGCACTTTATGTCAGGATATTATTGTAGATGATAGTCAATCATATTGTCAATAAACAGCAACTCAGGTTAAAATTAATTTTTTAGAAGGGTCAAAGATGGTAAAGAGTATTGCCAACACTTGGTATCAAGTGTCCATCTTCCTGGCTTTTTATTCTCCAAAAATCTTCTTTGAAAACTATATAGCTAAATAGTAACAAAACTTAGCTACATTCATCCATTTAGAGAGTATCCAGTTTAGAAAATATATCCAGTGATCCAGCCCACTGACCAAAGTTGCCACCATGGTTAAAAAAAAAAGATAGAGGTAAAATGCTAGTTAAATATTCTGGTCATGAGCATCACTGAAGAGACAAAATGTACATTTGTTGAGTAAATACTATTTAAACATCAGTATTTTGGTCTAGTACAAATACCAAGTTCATTAAAAGTTATTAGAAAATGACAATTACAGAACCTTGATCTACTAAATACGGAAACCCCTATAATGGTTTTGTGGAAGCATGCTTGCTTCAAGTGTGAGAGGTTGGGGTAGGGGTTCAAATTTGTCTGAGCCCCTGTCTGGGTCAAATAAAAAAAATTAAAAATTAGTGCTTGCTGCTTTCCTGCTTAGCATACTGCATTTATTAGAGCCATAAATGGTTGGCTCAGAGACAGAATAATGTTTCAGGGTAGGGTGACATATCTTCCTGTGGACTGTTTCCTTGTGTACTATAGCACATTAAAAGTCCAGCGGAGCATGTCAGTCTAGTACAAATCTGGATTTATACTCAGATCACATAAACATGATCTTGTCCTGATAAGTATGTAATATTAGCCACTGGATGTTAAACACCAATCCTTCCATCCTAAAATAAATAAACATATTTTAGGGTAACTAATTTGAAATTTCAATCAAGTTTTCAAACTGTTTATCTAGTTCCACAACATATCTCAAAATAACAAAAACATTAGTAAATGAAGAACTGTATTGACTCCCCTTAAATTTACCTTTTATCATCAAGTTTTATATATAAAGATAGTGCTCATTAAATGTTATGCAAACAAGTATATTTGTGGATACCAAAATAGATATAGATTTAAGGGGTTGACCTATAAGTGTTCAAAAATAGACTAATGATATGCCAATGTAAACATGATAAGTCAGAACATGGTTACATTGTTATTGGTAAGCCACATTTGTACTTTTATGTTAGGTATTGGTATTTATGTTGATCATTTAGTGATCCAAGATTTTGGTGATAATAAATGTGAACATCCAGATAACGGTAATACATTTTGTTTTCCTAATGTTTTGTATTGTAATATTTGAATGTGAAAAAGTTTTCTAGCAAGGTTATGTTATCATTGTCACCACTCAATTGTTCTTGATAGTATTTGGTTTTCACATAAAAATATTGTGTCTTTTATTTGTCATAAGGTAGGGGGAATGGGGATATAAAGCATTATATGTATACTGGCTCCTTTTAGATCCTTTAACAGAAATCAACCATGCATGGAAAGATTTTTTCACTTTTGTTTATTTAATACTTGCATGTATCTTATTCTCAATTTTAACTCTCATTTATTATGAAGGAAAGTGTTGCTTAATCTATTTGTTTGAGCAGAAAATAGCCAAGTGCCTCAACAGTGTTGTGGATTCATTTCAATCAATATTGCCACTATTATGCATAGCAGCACAAAATGCAAGACAATTCAAATTGTCTTATCCGACAAACCTATTACTCCTGCAAAAAATTTGAACTTAGAAGAACTTTTCTAGAACATCAAGAAGTGTTCTTGAATCACTAAGAAAGTTAAGAACTTTAGATCTAGAACACAATATGTTCTTGATAACTGTTCTTCGATAGAAATAATACTATAGCAGCTTTGGTTACTTAGTTTGGTTTTGTTTCAATGACAATTCTTATGAAATATTCAATTTAACATTTTAAACTGAGAAATTCTATTATAAGAATTAAATGCATCTATTTTGTGTTTAGTACTGTATATACAAAATATGTTAGGTTTTATATTGTAGTTAAAAGTACAAATCATTCAATTCTGATATTTAAAAAAAAGAGAAATCTAAAATAAACCCAGCTAATTAGTTAATTTGGTCATGCTAGAGTAATTTAATAGGAGTCTTTGGTGCATGTAAATACATTACAGCTGTCTAGAAGACTTGTGAAGGATATGCTTCATTGTCACTAATTCATTACATTTTGATTAATGAAGTCTGTATTTGTTTATCCATATGAAAAAATAAAATCAAGTTGCATAGTGTTTAATGCTACAAGTACACGGGACACTTAAGGTGTTTTAATTTTCTTCATAGGCCTACTAAATAGAGAAATCATTTAACATTTTTAGATATTTATATTTAGTATTGGAAGACAACAGGATGCCATCTAAATCAAAATAGAATAGTACCCCACACAAAGCATGCCTGTATTGATCTTCTAGTAATTCTGTAATGAAGAACTATAAATAACTTGCTCTGATAACAGCAAAAGGATCCAATTATATCATAGAGAATTAATAAAAAAATTCCTGCTGTAAAAACTTGTTTTTGTTCCTTGCAAGATTATTATTGATGAATTCATGATTTAATGGGCTTGTTTTTAGAATATTATTGATACTTGAGGATTATAAATAGATTTGGCTATATTTGATAGGAATTTTTGGAATTTTTCTGTAGTTTTCATGTGTTGACTTCAGCTAGTGCTATTCTTAGAATCATTGTTTTTAGAAACAGGATAATAGGAATGGTTGAATGTTTTATCTAAGCCTTGAAAAACACTTGTCCTGAAAATGGTTTTACAAAGAGGTAGCCATGCATATCTTTTGTACCTATAAACCTATTTATATTGTTTGATTATGTCTAAGATTTAATTTAGAATTTTTTTTTTATATCCATTGAAATTCAATAAAATGTGTTTATCCTTTAATTTTGATGTGAAAGATGCTGGGATAAAACACAACAATTTACACCTTAGCTGGAAAAAATTGGTTACTCTCTATCATAACACTAACCATGCTGAATTGTTGATATTTTGTCGGCGTCAACCAAGATGGCCACCATGGCTAAAAATAGAACATAGGGGTAAAATGTAGATTTTGGCTAATATCTCTGAAACCAAAGCATTTAGAGTAAATCTGACATGGGTAAAACTGATTATCAGGTCAAGATCTATCTGCCCTGAAATTTTCAGACAAATCTGACAACCTGTTGTTGGGTTGCTGCCCCTGAATTGGTAATTTTAAGGAAATTTTGAAGTTTTTGGTTATTATCTTGAATATTATTATAGATAGAGATAAACTGTAAACAGCAATAATGTTCAGCAAAGTAAGATCTACAAATAAGCTGTTAGGACCAAAATTGTCAGTCGACCCCTTTAGGAGTTATTGCCCTTAATAGTCAATTTTTAACAATTTTTTGTAAATTTTTGTAATCTTTTACAAAAATCTTCTTCTCTGAAACTACTGAGACAAATTTAACCATACTTGGCCATAATCATTATTAGGGTATATAGTTTAAAAAAAAATTCCGATGACCCCGCCTTCCAACTATCATGGCCGACTTGGTTAAAAATAGAACATAGGGGTAAAATGCAGTTTTTGGTTTATATCTCTGAAACTAAAGCATTTAGAGCAAATCTGACAGGTAGCAAAAATGTTCATCAGATTTAGATTTATCTGCCCTGAAATTTTCAGACGAATCCGACAATCCGTTGTTGGGTTGCTGCCCCTGAGTTAGTAATTTTACAAAAATTTTGCAGTTTTTTTGTAATTATCTTAGATATCATTATAATATCTAATATCTAATACTATTAATTATGATTTTAACCTTATTTTACATGATTTCCAAAGCATCAGTAATTACAGGTGAGCGACACAGGCTCTTGAGAGCCTCTAGTTTAAGTAAAGTATTTGTAAAGTGGAAATAGGGTTTGGTAATCATAACCTGAGTGGGTTGAATTAGAGATGTATAATGGATAAATGCAATATGCCCCAATATGTTGAAACTAAAGGGGAAAAAAAGCTTAAATTCGCTAACTTTTTCCCCTGAATAATTAGCTGTCAGGTTGTTGAGGTATTATTTCCTGTTATCTGTAAAGAGAGCAGTTTCTGATCAGTAGTGGTCAATAGACAGACCAAACAAATAATAAGCATTTATGAGTAAAAAAATCTTATGGAAGTTTATAGAAGGCAATCTCATAGAAATGGCAAAAATAATTATTTGTACTTTTTTCTTAAGTTGTTTCTCAAACAAGAAGCAAAATTTCTATACATGTATGTTACCTTTAAGAAAAGTTTAAAGCTCAATTTTCATTTGTTTAAAGACTTGATCAACTCATAAAAAAGTTTATATATTTTGAAGAGAAGATTTTTTTCTAGAAACTCATTATATCTTAGATCAAATTAACCTGAGTCAAGGAGAGGTGATTTGAATGTTAGTCTGAACGACAATGTTAAATCTGCCTAGAAATATTGTGTAAACTATTTGGAAAGAAAGGGATTTCATAAATGGCATCCATTTCCTACCAATTCTTTTTATTTTCAGATCCATTGGTACCTCATGAATCCACTATGGAAATCAACAATCATTTTGCACATATTAGCAGAAAACCAGGTATGTATTAATTGTCAATCATTACTCTACAATTTTAGTCATTTGAAATTGCTGATTGTACAGTTAATTAATCTTCTCTTTTTACAAGTAGTTGTTATACAGAATGTTATTACATAAAGGTCAGAAAACTAAGTAATTTGGTCTCCTTCAATGTTGCCATATCAAACAGTACAAAAAGGTGAACATTGATTGATATTAATTACTGACAATACTATTTTGCCATGATTTTGTAATTACACAGCTACATATCTACCTGCATGACTGACTTAATGGGTGTAAATTAAAAGATGAATTTCAAGTAGTAAATTATGACTGATGGTACCAGTCTACAGAGGGAACATATGAACATACAGTTAATATGGGCTCAATACAGCCCTATTGGTTATACCCATCAAATATCTAGACAGTTGTACACGATATAAGATATTGTATTTGCTTATATATTTTTGTACTTAGCACAGGGGTCACAAATCAATGACAACTTTTATTTAAGGTATTTGAACTGTTATTTATTGCTAGCTGCAATGACAGTGGGATCCACCAAGTCTTACACCTTTGTCATGTATATAAAAATAAGTTGTGGTTTGACTGCCAATGAGACAACCATCCACCAAGTCTTACACCTCTGTCATGTATATAAAAATAAGGAGTTGTGGTTTGACTGCCAATGAGACAACCATCCACCAAGTCTCACACCTCTGTCATGTATATAAAAATAAGGAGTTGTGGTTTGACTGCCAATGAGACAACCATCCACCAAGTCTTACACCTCTGTCATGTATATAAAAATAAGGAGTTGTGGTTTGACTGCCAATGAGACAACCATCCACCAGAGTAGGAAATAATTTACGGTTGTGCTATTTGGAAGGCCTGCTTCAAATGATTCTGATAACAGAAATAAGTATGTCATACATCATTTTATAGATAATTTAATGCAGATTTACTACATAACAAGTCAACAATGGAATCAAAATATAACAAAAGTTCTCAACCAAGTGTCATTTCTCAAAAAATGTGAATTGGGTACCTTGTGTTATATTAAGGTATATAGGTCATTTTTTTAGAGTGGGTTCAAAGCACAAGAACAACTAACATACAAACAGTTTAATAGACACAAAGCACCAATATAAGAGTACTCACAGTTACTGAAAGCTAGTTCAAAGTCAATTACAACTAATAAATAAATCATGTTTTCCCAGACTAAATGTGCTAAGTTTGAATAATTGTCATGTGTCTGTAATAGTAGAACTAGACAAGTATGAACAATTGCCATGTGTCTAATATTGGAACTTGACAAGTATGAACAATTGTCATGTGTCTAATACTATAACGAGACAAGTATGAACAATTGTCATGCGTCTAATACTAGAACTAGACAAGTATGAACAATTGTTATGTGGTGTGTCTAATACTAAAACAAGATAACTATGAACAATTGTCATGTGTCTGTAATATTAGAATAAGACAAGTATGAACAATTGTCAGGTGTATGTAATAATAGAAGACATTATTATGAACAATTGCCATATGTCTAATACTAAGAATAAGACAAGCATGAACAATTGTCATGTGTCTAATACTAGAACTAGATACATATGAACAAAAGTGAAAGAACAAAAAAAAGCCAATAAAACAAACATAAAAAAATTAAACCTTTTTATTGTCCATTACCTAAAAAAAACATTCAGTTTTAGACTTGTTCATCTGACATGCTCAGCATGACCAGTTAGCAAAAAGGAAAACATCTTGTGTAGTTAACAAAATCCCTATTTGTATTCTGCAGGTTTTAGTTAGTGTCTCTATATTTGGATTATTTGACTTTAGCTATGGGACATCTCATGGCAATACAATACTTCCTGGTAACAAACATCAATTATACAAATATATCTTGACAGTTATTTGACAACTCTCTTCTTACTATGCGGAAATGTCATGTTCTAATTACATATACTGTTTAATTAATTTGAATTTACCAAAATTTAGGAATGGAGGTGAACAAGTATATTTGAGAAGGTTCCTGAAAAGATACAACTAAAGATTTTATTTTATAATCTTTATAATTAATTGTCCTTGATAGGTGGAAACTGGTTTTTAATTTTTGCAGATGCAACTCAATAAAGTTAATAAATTCAATTTCAATGCTCAAAACAAGTCCTAATTCTCTTATTTAGTCTTATTTTACTTCTTACATAAATATTGTGTGTCTGTCAAAATGATATAACATTATTGACTGGTAATATATATAATGTGCACTTGAGTTTATTAGAAGATTTAAAAAAGTCTGACAATTTTACTAGACTGTGACCCCTCATTATGACGTCAATGGTTGTTTTTTTTTTCAAAGTAATTTAAATGGAAATTTGGATATGAGTTTTATAGAGCACAAAAGGATTATATTGAGGATTTGTATGGTTGACTATGTTTGACTATTTATGACAATGGAATTGAGGTCAGCCTTTTATTTTCAATAACTAAAAAAAAAAATAGGTAATTATGGTTGGTTAATTGATTGCTGTTTGCTTAATGACCAGTGGCAAATATTTCATATATATTCACAATAAGATCATTAAAGATAATTCTAATAGGTAGGTTTTGCTAGTGGGTAACTGTCATGAAGAATGGGAAGTTTTGACATATATAGAAGAACAGAGCTATGTTGGATATGGGCAGTCAAATACCAAGAAATATCATGTAACTTGCTACCAATGAACCCTTCTTAGAGTTTATGTAATGTTTCTGTAATGTGCAGAGAAAATGATATTCTCCCTGCAAGAGACATCAGAATATAATGTCCCCATTGTATATTTTTACATCCAGCCTAGCCAATTGGATTCTAACCTCTTGGGGAGTTGTAACTGTAAGACAGAGAATTTGTTTATTCAGTGTGGTACCCATGGGGATTCTTTTACTTCCTAGTGTATGATTTTCATACTGGAGCAGTCAGGGATGTTACTGGCCAATAACAGAAATAACAGAAATAAGCCCTGAAAATGCATTCGCTTCACACAAGAACTTCTTAGGAAGAAAGAAAAGAAGTTAGCAGTATCTTTAAACTTTACTTTCCGCTATATAAATGATGTTCTCTCACTGAATAATTCAAAATTTGGTGACAATGTTGAACGCATCTATCCCATCAAACTTGAGATAAAAGATACAACAGATAGTTAAGTCAGCCTGATATCTTGACTTAAATCTAGAAATTGGCAATGATCGTTTGAAAACAAAACTTCACGACAAAAGAGATGATTTCAGCTTCCCAATTGTGAACTTTCCATTTCTATGTAGCAACATTCCAGCAGTGCCTGCATACTGAGTATATATCTCCCAGTTGATACTATTTTCCAGGGCTCTTATTTCCTATCATGATTTCCTTGATAGAGGGTTGCTGCTCACAAGGAAGCTATTAAACCAAGAGTTCACAGTGGTGAAGTTGAAATCATCCTTTCATAAATTTTACCATCACAAGTTGGTTGACTGTCATGAAATATCCGTTTCACAGATGATAGCAGATATCTTCCAATTGTCATAACTACAATCTCTTCCCCTTTTCCCCAAATGTGACCTACCGATTTAGATTTATTAACGGGTTTGTACTAACACGAGCAACACGATGGGTGCCACATGTGGAGCAGGATCTGCTTACCCTTACGGAGCACCTGAGATCACTCAAGTATTTGGTGGGGTTCGTGTTGCTCAGTCTTTAGTTTCTATGTTGTGTTTTGTGTACTATTGTTTGTCTGTTGGTCTTTATCTTTTTTAGCCATGTATGGCGTTGTTAGTTTATTTTCGACTTATGAGTTTGAATGTCCCTTTGGTATCTTTCGCCTCTCTTTTAAATTTTATGGTTATTAAAGAGGTTTTCATTCAGTTAAATTTTATTCTTATGAATACCTAAAAAAGACTGCTAAGTTATTTTATCCCATATGGTAATTATATCACTGATATTGTTGTCACCATCTGAACTTAATACATACTATAAATATAACTATGTTTGGTATACTCTTTTATTAGGATTTCAATTGTAATCTGATAATTGTCATGGTTATACTTAGACATGAAAACATCAATTGGCAAAATTCAAAAACTAAAATTGAAGTGGACTGAACAAGATTAAACACACCATTCTCAGAAATAAAAATGCCAGTGATCCCATACAAAAAGTATTACTAAGTGTGGAAAAGACATTAAAAAAATTGATTGCAGTAATTGTTTTCTTATAACTGTCTCTTATTTCTCATATAAAGGCTGGTCTTTTAATTAAGTTTACATTTAAAGCCTTGGCTTTGAAGTAAGATTTACCAAAAGGAGGAAAGAGGGTATTTGACTGAGCAGAAATTCCATCTGTAGCCACTGAGTGTAGGTGTATTGCATGTTTACAAAGTAAAACTTTTGAAGGTGAAATGTTTTCTACATTAATAATGAGCATCAGTTCTATTAATTGTTTTATAATTGTTTTCTGGGATATCTTGGTCATGATTTTCAGGTAATGTTTGATAAATGTCATTAACTCAGTTCAGGTTTGGGAGTTTCTCTGTAGCACTTTTAAAAGGATGTTTAATTCTGTAAGTTAAATGTGCATTATAGAACAAGTACTCCAGATTGATACCAAAAGTAGTTTTACAATCATTAAATCTGGATTTTGTCAATTATTATGAATTCATTGATTTCTTTGTCTTTATGACAAGTCACCATGAAATGCATCTAATCTGTGATATTATTGAAATTTATGTTTTAATTAAAACTGGATTTGAAATTTTGAATAATAGAGAGTACACGTTTGAATTATGCATTAGCTAATACAAAAAGATGTGAAAAAAAAAGAAAAAAAAGTTGTACATCTGTTGTTAGCATTGCAATTATTTAAATGTTTTAATTTTTATTGACGTCAGTCATTTTATCATTTATTGACTGTTTTGAAAACACAATAGTTGAGTACTTCACATTTACAGCTACAATTTGTAGTGTAATTTCCTGGATTTAAAATCACAGGATTAACATCG